CACGTTTTTATTTTGAGTTTGGAACCTCATTGTTGTTACTGCGATCTTCATTCTGGTTTAAAACCGTTATTCTTCAACAGAGCGAGAGACATCTTTGTCTCATTTTGCCATTTCCGTCTCCATGTAAGGTCATCATTGCTAGAGATCCTGTCTACAGTCTGCTACCTTAATGATGCTACCTCGCTCCCGTGTTCTAATTGCCAGCAACAGAAAAGTTACCTTTTTTTTTTAAAGTCTGCTACTCTGTGTTTTCATACTATCATCAACAGTAAAGGATGAGATATATACGTGTGTTGGTAGTCATGTGTAATTGTAGTCATAGCGTAGAATGTCTTTTGTAGATCACCATACAAGTCACTTAATCCATATCAATTGATATACGGAGAACAATATATTCCATTATATACTTAAGCCGATCTCATCTTCTCCATATTGTTTTCAGATGTCGTTAAAGTTTCTGATGGCTAACATGGACATTTAAGACTTTAACAAATGGGATTCTTCCATATAGCAAACTGTGGGAGCTGGAATACTATTTAGATCTTTATCATTACCTTTATAGCTAAAACATAACTTTCAATTATGTTAGGATATGGTATTTTGTTTACAGCAGTTTCGTTGTGAAGGTAAATAGTTTGTTAGGAACAATAACAGCAGTATCTGTTTGAATTCACCCTATCATTTTTTGATAATGTTCGTTTGGTTCTTTTACAGATAATTTAGTCTGCTTGTAAAAAAAAAAAAAGATGGAAATGTGTGTAGCTGTTTCTTCGGTCGTCTATTATAAGTTCTTTATTCGATTCTTTTGGCTCATTTGGTTACTAAACTTTCACTGTAAACGGAATTTTAGTTTGGATAAAAGATAAAACATCGCATGTGGGATGGAAGGTTCTTTTAGAAGTATTTGGAATGTAATACTAAATTTGGTGTCCTATTCACACAGTTAAACTTACGGCACAGTTAAACTTATGATACAGTTACACTTATGGCACAGTTAAATTTATGATACAGTTACACTTATGGCACAGTTAAACTTATGAGACAGTTACACTTATGGCACAGCTAAACTTATGACACTGTTAATCTTAGGGCACGATTAAAATAATGACACAGTTAAACGTATGACATCCTTTCTCTAGTGCGAAACTTTGTTCGCAGGTTTTGATTTGTACTTGCACATGTTCTTGAGTTTGGCTATGTGATCTTGTACACACGTTTCTGTAATACAAATATTTATTTATTTTTCGTCACGATCTCATCATATAAGACTTGAGCTTTCCCGAGTAGCAGTTAAACGCTGGTATTTTGAACCTTGTCCTTTGACGCATACTAACGAAGTTTTCACGCACATAATAGAACCTGAAAAACAAGGTTTCACACTCTTTACACACGTACTTAACTTTTATATTTACACTCGTTTAGTGAACAGTGCTTTAAAGTGTCCATATGTACTTGTCTAGAGTTTACAGCGAATATCAGACTGCTGCTTTTTTTTGTTGTATAATATTTTCTGATGCGGAATGTTTAGTCTATTGGCAAGAAATACATATTTTTTCTCATCTACTAAAAATGTTCTTGTCATCATCATCATCACCACATCTAATGGCTGAAGGTTCCAACTGTTGGCTACAGCTGAAACTTTAAAAATACACAGCTACTTTATATTTAAAATAATACACGACACTGACTAAAGAAGCGGAACACCGGACATCATAGTTTGAAATATCCTCACCATACCTACCGGTTCCATTGAAGGAGCGGTACTGTCATAGTTTGAAATATCCTCACCATACCTACCGGTTCCATTGAAGGCACGGTACTGTCATAGTTT